ACTTGGGCCAGGATCCGTGGGCCGAGCCTCTCCTTGGCCTTGAGGCCCAATAGCTTCCTCGTTTTCCATCTTTTCTGATTCATTCTTTTCTTAGGCCGATGTTAGAATCCATTTAATTCTTTATGGATTCCTAACTTACTTTCCTTCGGGTCTTGGACTTGGACCTAAGTGGATCTTGTTTGAGTACTTTCAGTTCCGGAACACTTCCTAGTGTGCCCTGGAAGCACACTATTGCTTGATCGTTTCCGCCCTTCTGTTGTCACAGGGATCTCCTGCTTGTCACAAGATTTCTCAGTTATTATCATGTCACCTAATATATAAAATTATATTATATCATGTCACGTAATATATAATCTTTAACATGTGTGCAAATTTTCAAACTGAATATTCACCCAATCCGAGCTTGGCTCGGTAACAGTAACAAGCCTGTAAATAGGTTTGACCTCGGTTCAAAGCTTAGTCAAACTGAACTTGAGCTGAGCTTTGACTGATCCGAGTCTGGACTGTTCACTGATGAACTTGGCTTGATGCCGCCCCTATGTATAAAGATACCAGAATTGCCATGGCTCCCTTCAACTGATGATGTAGGAGATAGACGGCTGCTTAACTTTGCTTATAGAAAAATAAACAGGTGTCAGATAAGTTATACTTATTCTCTACTGTTAGCTTTGTTTTTGGAGGTGTAGTAACTAATATAACACAGCTGTAAAAACATTAACAAAATGGAAAACTGGTCGACAACTAAGTTATTCAGTTAAAATAAGTGGCGCCGGGCGTGTTTATCTTCTGTCACTTATTTTTCTAATACAAAAACTTATGCTTGTATGCTTTTGAATGTAGAGAGCTGCTGAAACAGAGTTGCTTACAAAATTTCCTTATGGAGGTGAGCTGCCCTCTTCTGCTCATTAGACATTTCACCTATGATAACTCATGATTCTGGTTCATAATAAGTGGATTTTATTGCATTTGTCTATAAGTTCGCAACAATATGTTAAATGGAATGCTCATTTTGTAACAATGGACATATTTACTCTAGATTCCTGGGAACCTTACGAATCCAGTTTGTCTGTATCTTCATTTAGAATAACATGTCTGCTCATCATACCGTTAATGATAAGAAAATTTTCATTTTTATTATAGCTGAGCAGTTGAAATTGAAATTATAGTTTTGGTTCACCCTATGTAAAGATTCTACTGAATAGACATGGGACATGCTTTTTTTCAGGAGTGATTCTCAGGCCTGGTTTTATATATGGAACTCGAAGTGTTGGCAGCTTGAAGATACCCTTAGGGGTAATTGGTTCTCCAATGGAGATGGTAAAATTTCATCTTCTTTAATTTTCTTGTTTTAGCTGTTTATTTACTTATTAAGCTTGTTTGTTCCCTTTTACTCTTGCTACATCTAAAGATTTTGAAAATTAGGCCTGACTGATTCAAGCAGTGTATGATATGGCCTTGGTGATGCTAAGCCTCTCCTCTCCCTCCTTCCTTGGCTCTTTCTCTTCTACATGCTGGAAGCTGTTTCCTTTGTACTTGATGTGAACAAGTTTTTGACAACCTGAAGGATGTTTCTTGGACTTAAAGTTTCTGTTCTTTTCTGTCCCTCTTTGACGAATTCTGGGTTTCCTCTCTTCTCTTCTCTTCTGGCATCCTGTATTTAAAGCATGTGAGAATAATGCTGTTGCATCAGAAAGTAGTTGTTGAAGTTTCTAAGAGAGAGTATAAAACTAAGTCTTTTAGGAGTCAGGGATATTACAAACAACTGCATATTTATTTAGTAGAAGCAGTGCCCTACTCCAAACTGTCTGGAAAACCACGCACAAGATGAGATATATTTAATTGCATCCTCCTGATTTATATTTTAATTGCTGCAGATTCTTCAACATGCAAAACCTCTAAAACAGCTCCCACTTGTAGGACCTCTGTTCACTCCTCCTGCCAATGTCACTGCGGTGGCAAATGTTGCTGTCAGGGCAGCCACTGATCCTGTTTTTCCTCCTGGCATCGTAGATGTGTATGGCATTCAGCGCTATAGTCAGAGAAAATCAAGATAGACTTTTAACCTCTTCATTTCCTTTTCTGATCAAAATATAGAGCTCTTGATGCCGAAATTTCTCGATAATGTAAATTATTGCCTTGGCTACTTGGACTTTGAAGGAAGGGTTCGGTGAGCTGAGATGGAAGATTTTTCAGTTCAGTGAACTGAGATGAAAAATTTTTCAGTTCACTCAAGCAATAAAATTTACCATACCTTTGGAATAGTAGACTGGTTATGAGGTTTTTGAAAGGATGATTAGTGTCTCGAGATTTCGATGCCTGCCATGAATATATCAGACGGTCTCCCTGTTGAAATCCATGATCAATTAGTGTCAATGCCCACTAAAAATTATATACCCTGTTCCTCTGATAGTAAGTTATGGCATTTTTCTTGTAGACAGCCAGGTTTTTAAAGTGATAAATTTAGATAATCTTTATGGATTAATAGTGAAAGATATAAGATTAAATTATCGAATTAATATTTAAAATTTGTTATTTGTTACAGTTTGTTTATACTTGTTTTTTTTTCTTTAAGTATTTTATATTTATTTTAAAATTTTAAAAACTATTTATTATTAGAAGTTAAAATAATTAGATTGTATTTAAAGATATAATTATTTTGAATTTTAAAATAATTAAAAAATAATTTTAAAAAAATATGAGTTATTTTTTTAATTTATTAATTACTTTAAAATTTAAAATAAATCTATTATTTTTAAAATTTTAAAAATAATTTAATTACTTTACTTTTATAATTAAAAAGCTAGATTGAAATTAAAATTTTAAAAAATATTTAAAATACGCACTAAATTATAATAAATATTAAATTTTAGACATTAATTTAATAATTTATTTCAAATATTAACATATCACCGGAAGAGAATCTCACAAATTAATGCAACTTACATATCACGCTTGTGACAAAGTCAAGAATTTGTTTACTTTTCTTTAAATAGTTTGTTGAGATAATAGCAATAACACGTTGTTGGTGCCTCTGTAAATTAAGGTTTTTCAAGAACCTTTTAGTATTTAATGTTTTGTTATTAACACTTTTTTTAAGTGTGAGATGTTTCAAGTTTTTTTTTTTATTATTTTTTATTTAAGTAATAAACTTTATGTTCTGGTTTTATTTGTTGTTTTTGATGTAGTGTAGTGTTTGAGTTTTGTTACAATATATTTATTACTACAATTAAGTGAAAAATGGTTCCTACAAATTAGTTTTAAACTAATATTAATTGATAACAACTATTACTAAAAAATTAAAATAATAACTAATTAATGGGATATGTAGAGTGATCATATTGTAGTGTGTATTTACGATATAGACCGTAAGAATAGTAATTAAGTAGTAAGATGATTTCTTTATTTAGACACAAAAATAGAATAAATTATACTTTATTCTTCATGAATTTCGTAATCTAACTGTGATGTAATTTTATTTTATTTCATTATTTTTTTAACAGTTTAATACGTCGTAATTTGATTTTTTTACTTGTTTATATATCATTATTCTAAATATATTTACATACTTTAAAATTAAAAGATAATTTAAAAAAAAATAGAAAATTACCTATGTAATAACAAAAAATCAAACGGTAATATTCAGTTGCCATAAAAAATACAGAAATTAAACTACGACGATACTGAAAAAAACTTATAATAGAATTGTAATTTACCTAAAAACCAATAAATGTAACAACCCCGAAAACTCTAAATGAGATAAATTATAAATTTAGTGCAGAAACAAAATAAATAGTTAGGTTTTATATACCTTACACAATAATTAAAAGTACTAAATAGGGCTTACGGACATAACCCTTTTAAAAAAATAACTAATAAACAAAGAAATAATTTAAAAGTGAACAAACTGAATGTCATACTCACAACACTATTGTGGATCGGTATCTGAATTCTGGTTCTTTTGATCTAAAATGGTTAATGAAAGAGTGAGATACACTAACTCCGTAAAAATATCACGTTACTTATCGACACAGAAATTAAGTTGGTAGAAATCATTAAAACAACTAATGGAGCTCTTAATTAAGTAAATTCGTTTATCATAATAAATATTTACCGTCTACTTACGTAGCGAAATTTACAAAATAACATATAGAGTCATA